AATAAATTAAAAAAAAAAAAGGAGAGATGCTGCAAGGGGGAAAACCCAAGGCACCCCCGGGGCTGGGATCCTCCTGCCTGATCTAATTGCAGGTCATACAGGTGCACACCTGAGGGGGTGCGCTTGCCCAGGTGTTAAGTTACACCTCAAGAAAAATGAGGACACTCAGAACACATTCCTTCAGTGTGTCCTAGGACAGGAGTCAAGGGCTCCTGGGCCAGATCTAGCCTGAAGCCTATTTTGTATGGCCCTGAGGGCAAGAACACATTTACATAAACGGTTGTCTGAGACCTTCTGACCTGCAAAGCCTAAAATATTTATCTGGTCCTTTACAGAAAAAGTCTGCCAATCTCAGTTCTAGGATCTAAGAAAACCAAGAAAGGGCTGGGGAGGATGTAAGTTTTCACCTGACAAGTGATTTTTCTACTGCCTGAATTATTACATTTTTCATTTACCATGCACTTGTTTTTTGTTTTTTTAATTAAAGCATAACTTGCATAACATGCACAGGTTTTAAATTTAAAGTTCAATGAATGAGGGCAAATGTATTCACCCTTAAATTACGTTTTAAATTTTGTATTTTTCTGTTAACCCTGGATACTGAGGAAGGGTGCACCTTTTATGTCGTCTATTACATTTTTGCTGTGATGAATCCAACAACAAAATTTAAAACGTTACTTAAAACATTTGAAAACCTTAAGAATATGAATTACTGGGGAACCCTGAAGGTGGGGGCTGCCAGCAAGAAGCCACCGCAAAGAACATCTTATCCCCTCCGGATCCAGGTTTCAGCCTCAGCCTTGCCGTGGGTGACTATGGGGGAGTCGCAGTCTCTCTCGGGCCTCAGTTTCCCCACCTGTGAAATGCAAGGGTGCCTGAAGGCTAGGTCGCGTGCTCTGCTAACCTCACTTTAACCCACTGGAAAATGGGAATAATTAACAGGACCTACCTCCTGGGCTGTTACGAAAAGGGAGCAAAGAGCTTAGTAAGCGCTTGACAAATGCCGTTATCCTTACAGTTATTACTGAAGGGGATCCCGGGGCTTCGCCTCCTGTCACACGGCGGGAGAAACTGAGGCCCGCTCGCGTCGCCGGCGCCCCGCCCCCGCCGCAGAGCCCCGAGAGCCCAGACCCTGAGACTCCGGCGCGGGGCGGCACTGACCAGACAGTCCTCGACGGGGCAAGTTCCGCTTGTAGTCGATGGGGCCATAGCCCCCTGGAGGGGGCATGTCCTGCTTCACCTTCGACGCCGCCATGCTCGCACGACCCCACACTTCCGGCACGGAAGGAAGTGACGTAGACGACCGCCGCCGCCATGATAAGCGTGGCGGAAGCACAGGCGAAGGTCGCCCTTCGCTGGGAACCTGAGGGGGCGCTGGTGTGACCACCCGACGGTAGGGGAGAGCTCGTGTGGCTGGGCCTGAGACCTACTGCGCAGCCAGGCTGCGGCCAAAGAGTCCTTATTTCCTGCTCCCCCAGATAGGGTATGACTCAGTCGCAGGGGCGCCCTGGTCCTTGCACTGAAAGCCCTTGTGGTCACCTTCCCTCAGGGGTGATGCACAAGGCAGTCGTAAACCCAGAGCTCCAAGGGAGCCAGATCCCGCAGTTACGTCCCCTTTTTCCGTTTTCGGCCCCACCCTGGAGGGCTCTGCGGGAGGCCCGGGGCTCCACATAGTCAAGGGCTGGGTATTTGAAGTTGAGGGGCCGCTACTGCTCCAATTCGGACTCACGAGGAGGCACCCCAATCCCAGGAACGGATTGTGCTCCCCTGTGGTGGTCGGTACCCCTGGCTAGTGGCCTCTCATCGGAAACTGACCATTCAGGGCGATTATGAGTCACAAAGCATGAGGGGCTTGGGGAGCCTAGGGGACCCCCACCCGACGCTGAGTGACGCCCACGGTCACTTCACAAGGCAGAAATTGTTACCAAGGTAATAAAAGGCGCCGCAGCGGCGGGGGCCCGGGAGTGGGCACATGGGGGTGCGGGTGTGCAGATGCCAAGCGCCATGGGTTAGGCCCGAGATCGGAGTCCGGCCGCCCCCCCGACAGCAGCCGCCTCCTGCTCCCCGCGCACCCCAGGCGCCACCATGTCAGGCGACAAACTTCTGAGCGAACTCGGCTATAAGCTGGGCCGCACGATAGGAGAGGGCAGCTACTCCAAGGTGAAGGTGGCCACGTCCAAGAAGTACAAAGGCACGGTGGCCATCAAGGTGGTGGACAGGCGGCGCGCGCCGCCAGACTTCGTGAACAAGTTCCTGCCCCGCGAACTGTCCATCCTGCGGGGCGTGCGGCACCCGCACATCGTGCACGTCTTCGAGTTTATCGAGGTGTGCAACGGTAAGCTGTACATCGTGATGGAGGCCGCCGCCACCGACCTGCTGCAGGCCGTGCAGCGAAACGGGCGCATCCCTGGGGCTCAGGCGCGGGACCTGTTCGCGCAGATCGCCGGCGCTGTGCGTTACCTGCACGATCACCACCTGGTGCACCGCGACCTCAAGTGCGAGAACGTGCTGCTGAGCCCTGACGAGCGCCGCGTCAAGCTCACGGACTTCGGCTTCGGCCGCCAAGCGCACGGCTACCCAGACCTGAGCACCACCTACTGCGGTTCGGCCGCCTACGCGTCGCCCGAGGTGCTCCTGGGCATCCCCTACGACCCCAAGAAGTATGACGTGTGGAGCCTGGGCGTCGTGCTCTACGTCATGGTCACCGGGTGCATGCCGTTCGACGATTCGGACATCGCCGGCCTGCCCCGGCGCCAGAAGCGCGGGGTCCTCTACCCCGACGGCTTAGAGCTCTCCGAGCGCTGCAAGGCCCTGATCGCCGAGCTGCTGCAGTTCAGCCCGTCAGCCAGGCCCTCGGCAGGCCAGGTGACGCGCAACAGTTGGCTGCGCGCGGGAGACTCGGGCTAGCAGCCCAGGGTCCCATTCCCGCTGCCTCGGGCGCGGAGCCAGCGCGGCGCACGCGCGAGAGGTGGCTTCGGGAAACCCGCGAAGCTGCCGCGCGCTGCTGCGCACGCGCTCTTCCCCTTCCCTCCCCCACCCCGGCGGGGGCCTCAGTTGCTCGGGTTCCGAATCTGGATCCTCCTCCGCCATCCCGAGAGCTGCAGGGTGCATGCGCAACCTCGATTCCCGGAGAGAAGACCCCGGGAGGGGCGGTTCGGGAGGAGGAGACGGAAGCGTTGCGCCTACGAGGAACAAGCGACTGCCACGCGGCGGGAGGTGGCCGCCTGGAGTTGCGCAGAGGTCGGCCCTCCCCAGCCAGCCGTGGGTGCCAGGTTCCCCGTTGGGACCTGCAATAAACTCGCTCTTCCTCGCACCTGGCCCTAGTGTTGGCTTCCTTTTATGGAGTGGGGTGGGAAGAAGGCTAGGGGGGGGCGTCTCCCATTTTAGAGTCAGGCACGTTGAGGTTCTTGCTCCAGGACTGGAGGGAGTTGGGAGGATTCGAACCCGGACCTAGTGTCCCGGGGTCGTTGATGGCACTGTGAAAAGGGGATGCAACTGGACCCCATCACTCCTCTCTGCCACACCCAAGTGTTGAAGGATAGAACAGCGGGAGCGGGGGCTGTCTGTCTCCAAGTACATTGAGCATTTATAGATGAGGAAACTGAGGCACACAGATGTCTCTTGCCCAAAGACACAGCTGGGATTTGAACCCAGATCTAGCTGAAGTGGGGTCAGGGTTGTGGAAGCCCTTTTTGCTGAGGGCCCCTTGTATTGGGTCGGCCGTGAGTCAGCCCACAAGCTGGTTCATTCAGTCCTCTGTTTGTTCACATACTCATGCATTTCTTGAGCACCTGCTGTGTGCCAGGCCGTGGAACTCAGTGAAGAGGCTTGGGCCCATCCCTGCCCCCAAGGAGGAGGCAAGTGAAGAGGCAAGTGAAAAGTCAAGTAAAATGAAACAATGATGCGGAAATAACTGTAAGTTGTGCTAAATGTCAGGTGGGGGTGGGAGGCGTCCAAGGAGGAGCTTTTAAGCTGAGACATTTGAGCTGGGCCCTGAAAGGAATCAGCCATTGGAAATGGCCGAGGGAAAGCATTCCCAGTGTTTCCAAGAAAGAACAGAGCTGGTGTGTTTAAGGCCAGGAAGCTCCTGTGGCTGGAATAGGGAAGGAGGGAGAGGATGTCATGGGGTAAAGGTGTATGGTAGGGGGACCATAGAAAACCTGATCCCTCTGGTTTACAATAGAAGGGGAGCACTCCTGACTTGGGCCATGCCTCCAGCTCCCCACCTGAAAAATGGGGGCAGGAAGCCATCCTGGGGTAGTTGGGAGACGGCGTGGCTCACTAGAAGACTGAGCCCAGAGTCTTCCCAAGGCTCTTAGAATAAAACCCACACCCTCCCTCCTTCCCCTGCCCCAAGTCCAGTGGCACTGCCATGCTTGGGCCCACCTGCAAGCTTTTGCACAAGGCTGCTCACGCTCCTACACTTTTCCCCTCTCTTCATTCCAGACTTGGCCTAAAATGTCACTTCATCCCTGACACCTTGTTCTTTCCCTCCTTGCCCTCCTCACAAGGTGCCACATTTCCAGGGCCCTGGGCATGGCACATGCCTTCTGCCCAGCGACGAATGGGTGGGAGCAGATGAGGCTAGGCAGTCCACCTACCTTGTGGCCAGGGACTCAAGTCTCAATTCAGAGGGGGACAAGGTCTCAGGGATGAGGGTAGTCGCCCCATTTCCAGCAGAAGCTACTTGAGACCATGCGCCAGGACTGGCCACTGGATTTGCTCCCCACTGCCTCCTCCCACCCCCACCCTGGGTGCAGGGAAGCACACAGGCTTGCCAGAGCCAAATCCAGGAAAAAACGCCCGTAAGAACATTTCTCAAGGCCAGTCTTGGGGCCTGGGACACAGTCTGGATGTCAAGGGTGGGGCAGGACAGGCTTGGGTTCAACTTCTACCAGTGTCCTCTAGCAGCTCTGTGCCTTGCCAAGGTGAGACCAGGCACACCTTAGGTGTGGGGAGGGCATCACCCCCAGGCCGGAGGCAGGAATGCCTCAAAAATAAGTACAAAAAGCACCTAGGAAAACAGGGTCACGTTTTAGTATGCACACTGAATTCACTGAAGTGATCCCAGGAATAAAGTTATGAATAAAGTTGAAAACTGTCAATATCTGAAAACAAATTTTCACCAGGAAATCATTCATTTTGGGGCCAGTCTGGTGACTCCATCTGTGCTTAGAACTCGTATCTGTAATACCACATCCTTCAGCAAAGACACTCGTCGAGGTGCCAAGACTGAAAATTGCTCCGGGAACACCCCCCCGCTATGTGAAGGCTAAGAGACCCGCAACCCCCCAACAAAGTCCCAGATTCCGATGGAGGTCCAGAGCAGAGGGGACGCCAGCCCTGGGGAAGTGAGTTCCAAACCACGTCCAGAAGCAGGTGCAGCCCATCCTTTGCTTCCCTCCAAACTGCCCCAGAAGCTAGGACAAAACAATACAGGAAAACCAGGGCCCAGGGACAAAAGAAAAGTCCAGTCCACATGTCATCCATTTCTTTATTAGCCTTCAGTCTAAACTCCCTCGTGACACAACGGTAGCCACTGATGGCAGCCTCTTTGTTTATCGGAACTTCTGGTGGCAAGCATTTTCCTTTTTTACATTTGTTTTATTATCAAAGATTTAGAGTCGCAATAAATACACGTGACAACCTCCCTGCCCCCCCCACCCCTCCCCTTCCCAAATACCCTGCACTAGTGTAACCAACTATTACACTTTGTTAAGGATTATAAAATTGTCAGCCGTCCTTTTTAAAAAAGCTCAGTCTAAGTTCTGCAGGCTCACGTAACGTGCAGCAGCTTGGCATCAGAGAGCCCTACGGAGGAGCAGCAAGGACCATCCTTTCCATTCCGGGCACCCCAAGATGAGAATGTTTATATAGGAAACTCTCCCGTGACCCTCTGTCCAATAGGAGAGTGGGGTGTGGGACTCTGGGACTGCACTGATCACCCCCTCTGCCCCGGGGCAAGCTCTTGCTTCACCGAGGTCCTGGAAGTACAGATAGGACCAGAAGCTGCTCTGGATGCTGCCTATCCCAGCCCTCAAGAGCAACTCTGGACCTGGTCAGGTGGCGTTCCTGACGCCACTGTGGAGTCCCCTAGGATGAGGTTAGGGTGGCCAGAGCAGTGGGGGGCTCCAAATGGACGCTTGGCCGTTTCAATCCTGTCCTCCATCCCCTCAAACGGGAGGAGTGAGCTCTGAGATGCCCCCACCCCAGTCCACAGAGTGGCCGACACTGGGAAGTTTCCAGTTGCCGTTGGGGGCTCCCACCACAGGTAACAGGAGACAGTTAGAACCATCACTGTTTGGGGCTGGGGACTCCCACATTCTCATGCTCACAGGACCAGGTCCTGGCAGGGCTCTGGGGGGAGAACAGGACCCCAGCATGTCGGTGTCCGGTTCTGGGGGTGTGCTTTGCTGCTGGTAGAACCCCCTTAACATCCATAAATATCCTTTCCTGGCTTGTCCACACCCCACACCGAGAGGTACTTAATAATGCCTTCACCTGTAATGACATAAATTTCATCACAGAACCGCCCACTTGGGGCTTATTATGGAAGTTACACTGCAAAAGAGGAACTAAAAAAAAAAAATGGGGTAGGATTTGAGACAGTGGAAATGAAGGGAAGATTAAGGCATCTCACATTCTTGCCCCATAAAAAAAAAAAAAAAGAAAACCTATGTTTACATCACAGTATGCGTCATTCCTGATGGGGATCAACATTCCTGGGGGACGTGGGGCTGAAGGCCGCAGAGCCAAGCCAGGGCCCCAGCCGTCTCTGCTGCACTCAGGAGGCCTATCCAACAGCCACAGGCCCAGAGAACAGCCTGCCAGGCTGCGAGAGGCTGGGAGCTGGGGCTGGGGGCCTGCGGGTGCGGCTCTGATTGGGCCTTTCGTCACAGACCCAGTCGCCTCACAATGGGGCGGGCAGAGGTGACTTTTGCCCGGACACCTGATCCCAAGTCACTGCACAGAACTGAGGTTTGTTTGTCACCAGGGAGGGCTTTCAATTGGAAGAAGCCAGCCCGGGCACTCCTTCTGGAAGGAGTTGGAAGATTTGGCCCGTGTTAGTGAACAGAGAGGGCTAAGAGCTCAGGGTCGTATAAGACAGGTATTTATTTGCCAGGCACACAGAAAAATGCGAGGAATAGAAATGCTTGCATACTCTTGATTTTTTTGGTGTAAAAACACACCCTCCCCTCCCCCCACAAAGACATCAATTTCCCCCTTCCCCCAAATCCCTGGATTTTGGAATGAAAGCCACCCTCCACTCGCCTCCTTCAGCCCATCTAAGTTATGCACTCAGAACAAAAATCAGTGAGAACCTTGGGGCTTTGCACAACAAAAACTTAAGAGAACGTTTTCCAAAAGTAGGCCTTCTACTGCATGTCAGAAATGCTGTCTACAGACTGATGATACTCACACAACAGGAGCAAGGGGTTAAATGAGCCTTTATTAGAATGTTGTAGCAGTTGTGTCTGAAGGCAGCAGCCTTACAAAGAAGGATTTTAAATTAAAGTCCCTAACTGCATCAATAGAAAAACCAGGGCTGGAGTGGAACGGCGGACTGGTGCCACCCCATCCTCGTGGAGACACACAGCATGTGCGGACAAGGGACACCCTTGCGCCGGCCTGAAGCCTGCAGACACACGACGGCTTCTGCCTTTCCTCACCAGAACTGATTTTTAAAGAGTGGGAGGGGGAAAAAAACAAAACTAAAAGCAGACCTGATCCTTCATTAAAAAACATTTCTGTAGCCTCTAAAGGGAGTAAAAAAAAAAAAAAAAAAAAAAGAAAAAACCTGAAAGCAAACCCTGACAGCAACCCCCAGCTTTAAGGAGAAGGTTCTAAACTAGACCCAAACGGAAATCCTGGAGTCTGGGGGCAGCTACCACGCACCTAGACTGCGCCTCCCCACCCGGACACACCTGGGCATGCTCAACAGACAGGAGCAAGGCCAGGGTGGCTTAAAATTGTGTCCATCAAGATGAATATAAAAAGAAAAGGAAAAAATTTTAATAAACCACAACAACAAAAAACTCCACAACAGCCCAGCCCCCCAACTTCTAGCTCAGGCTTCTGGGCAGCATTGCCGACTCAACCCGCTTCTCCCGGCTCCGTGGGCAGCTCACCGCTTCTGGAATCCCTGGTTCTCGCAGCGGGGTCTGGCTTTCAGTTTGTTCTTCTGCTAAGTGGAGGTCCCAGGGTCTCCGGAAGGAGTAGCAACGGAGGCTTTTGGCCGGAGCCACGCTGTCGGCCACCCCTGCATCTGTCAGTAACTGGGGCGGGCCGCTCGTCCCGCCCAGGGCCACGGTGCCATCAGTGGCCCACCCTTCAGGACACAGGGCTGGCAGGACAACACCGTGCACAACAGGGACCCTGGGGTCTGCACGGTTTACTTTTAACTCCATCATTATGAGGCGACTTAAAAAAAAAAAACAAAAAACTTTCGACCTATAGATTGCCATGGAGGAAGGCAGTCAGAGATTGGGAGGCTAAGAAGGGGAAAAACAAAAACGAAAAATGCCCCGCTCAGTTCAGAAGCCCTGGGCGCCAGCCTCGCCCGAGCTTGTCACAGTGTCCAGGGTAAGCTGCCCGCGCGCCTGCTGGGGGCTGAACGCGGGGGCCAGGAGCAGGACCAGCCCCCAAGGTCCACTTTTTCTGCTGGTGTCGGGCAAACTAAAGGCAAAGAGAAAGGAAGAAAACCCATGGGAAAAGGTCCCCCAGTCACAACCCTTGTCCACCTGTGAGGCAGCACAGGCCCCCACACCGCGCCTGGACTTTGCAGCCAAGAATACAGGTCTCCCTTCTGCAGCGCCCTCTGGGGTCAGCACGGTGTCTTCCCGAACGAGCGGAGGATGGTGCAGCGTGAACTTCTAGACCAGGGGCCAGGTGGGGGGAGGAGGGAGCCTGTCCTCCGCTGGGCCTGCCTCGCACTATTTCCACGTGGCTGACTGAGGGATGGAGCGTGGCGGGATCATGTCGAGGAGGTACTCTCGCTGGCGGTCCACAGCCGAGGAGGTCTTGTGCACTGCCAGGCTTGGGCTGACAAACGCAAGGGTCCCGCCTGCAACAGAATAAGAGTGACAGGCCACAATGGCCCCCCAAGTCAGGGGAGGCACCCAGCAAGTGAGCACAGGCTGCTACCTAGACCCTGGCACCCACCCACACACACATCAAAGACCCATGAACCCTAAGCCAACACTAAGCCGCTGTCAACGTCTTGAATCCCAGGCCCCAGAACCAATGAGAATTTGAGGCCATTCCCGGGCTCTGCCGGGGGAGGTAATCCCGCCTGTGGGGTGACAGAGATTCAGTCAGCTAAGTGTGCTACAGAAACGAAGATGCTGGCCACAGTGCTATTTAGAGCAATGGAAAACAGGCTAGGTGTGGTGGCACATACCTGTAATCCTAGCACTCTGGGAGGCTGAGGCAGAGGAATGCTTGATGCCAGGAGTTTGAGAGCAGCCTGGGCAACATAGTGAGACACTGTCTCTCCAGGGCAATGAAGCAGGATGGAATACTACGCAGCCATTAGAAGTATTTTTTTTTTTTTTAGAGACAGGGTCTTGCTGTGTTGCCCAGGCTGGTCTCAAACTCCTGGTCTCAAGCAATCCTTCTGCCTCGGCCCTCCCAAAGCACTGAGATTACAGGCATGTGCCACCATGCCTGGCCTTCAAAGAATTTTTTTTTTTTGAGACAGAGTCTCGCTCTGTCACCCAGGCTAGAGTGCCGTGGCGTCAGCCTAGCTCATAGCAACCTCGAACTCCTGGGCTCAAGCGATTCTCCTGCCTCAGCCTCCCGTGTAGCTAGAATTACAAGGGGGTACTACCATGCTCAGCTAATTTTTCTATTTCTTTTTAGTAGAGACCGGGTCTCACTCTTGCTCAGGCTGGTCCTGAACTTCTGAGCTCAAGCAATCCTCCCGCCTCAGCCTCCCAGAGTGCTAGGATTACAGGCATGAGCTACCGCACCTGGCCAAGAATTTTTAACAACAAAGATCCTTTTTTTTGTGAGACATGGTCTCGCTCTGTCACCCAGGCTGGCTCCAGAAACCTGGCAACTGGGTCCTGCCCAGTGTTCCCCTCAAAGCACAGGTGAGAACCCCCCCAGGTAATTGGGAGTGCTGGCAGAACTCTTTTGGAAAATGGTGCTTTGAACTATCACACTTTTCCCTCTAATCTGACCACCGGACACGGCAACTACTGATGCCTTCATATTCCCTTTCAAACTTTACCCCTAAACACCCGCATGGTTTCAAGATGATGTTCACCACTGTGTCCACATGCGCATACCCATTTTTGACTTTTCCTTCTCATTTCATGTGCTTTCAAATTTCTCACAAAAGCAGCTTCCCACCAGCCCATGAGTTCTTAGCTGTCCCTTAAACCTGCCCAGCAGAAAGTACCTCTGGCTGGCCTGAATCGAAACATGCTCTATCTCCAGGCTGCCCAGAGGAACACACCTACCCTTTCCTGAACCTCCCCTGCTGAGGCTGGCCTGACGGCACACCCCTAACTCAGGGCAGCGGAAGGTGCAGCAGGCTCTCAGGCTCTGCACAGCTTCCCCAGTGCTGCCGGGTCTGCCTCACGATGGTGCCTCTTCTTCCTGCAGGGACGCAGGCTGCTGGGAACTCGTAGGGATGCTTCGCTTCCTCTACCAGAGGATACCCATCTCCTACGCTTGGCCCTTCCCGCCCACCTTTCTCTTTCTCGTTTTTTGGTGCACACAAGAAATATTTAACTTTCGTCCTAATGTTAGCACATAAATGAGAAAATTAAAAAAAAACAAACAGAACAAGCAGCCTTGGGGACAATACCGATGACAGTGGGGCCTCAGCTGACTGAGCCTGCTTGAGGGTATTCACCTCCCCTGCTTGCTCCTCAAATGCTGTCTCTTCCAAGGGGCCTGGGGCCACTTCAGTTACAGCCCAGCCGCTGCCCTGGGGCCCCCACCATCCTCGCTCTTGCTCTGCCCTGCAGCCGGCATGTCTAAGACAGAGAGTGGGATAGGTCTGCCCCACGTTTTGGGTCAAGGGCCAAGAGCCTGGGTGCAGAGGGTGGCAACAGTGAGGTGGCGGGTAACTACTTAGGGCTATCACTTAGCAGGGTGTCCTGGTCAGCAACAGGAGAGAGAGCACCACAGAGTCTGAGGTGGCTGCTCTCAGGAAGTGATTTTGGGGGCAGGCCGTGCATGGTCTTTGTTTAAGATAAGAAGGGGGGAACCCAAGCAGGCTGCCCACCTGCGCTGAGGGGCGTCTTCTTCCAGTTGGAGGCGGCGCTGCCCTTGCCAGTGCCCACGGCTCGCTCGGAATGCCTGCCCGTCCTGCTGACCAGAGCTGTGGCCGAGGCTGCGTTCTGCAGTTTGGGTGACTGGCTGAACGTGTGTAGGACACCTCGGGGCGTGGTGGCTGAGCCCCGGGACAGCTGGCTGGAGGCCTGCGGTAGAGAGAGGGGGCGATGGCTCACGCAGGGAAGGGGCAGCAGCGGGGGAGATGCTCCACACAGCCTCTCCTTGCTCTGGCTGACCTCTTCCCACCCACACGGGGTCCCTAAAGTCCAAAATCAGGAGACAGGTAAGTTACACCAAGGGGGAGAGGAGGAGGTGGGGGAGGAGGGGGGAAGAGAGACAGACAGACAGACAGGCAGTGTGACAGTCAGCAACGGTGTGGTCGCGGCTGCGGTGGGGGCACGAGGCTCCCGGTGCCCAGCGCGGTTCTGACCTGTAGCACAGCCCCGTTACTCCAGTCGCGGGCCTCTCCTGAGCGGAACGCCAACTTACGCCGGGGTTTTATGACCTATACAGACGGGGGTTGAAATCCAGGTCAGCACCGTCCACTGGCTGGCCCAGGGGACCCAGGGTGACTGGAGGTGAGCCCCACAGGACAGGCCCGTCCCCCGAGGGCTTTGGACGCCAGGTGGGGATCTTGAGAAAACATGTTTAGTGAACTGCAAACAACGTCCAAAGGGGAAAAAAATTGCCAAAAGGGAACTTCAGGTCAACAGAGTGAGAAGCAGTTTAGGGAAAAAAAAAAAAAAAAAAACACCAAAAAACTTGATTTCAAACTTGCTCCTCTCCTTAATTTAGCTAGAACATTTCTTCCAAACGCCCCTTTGGTTATCTCAATGTGGCTTTCGGAAAAGTCCTTTCAGATAAGCAGTACTCTCGTCAGCCAGCACACTGTGAGCGAAAGCTACACGAGCTAAAGAAACTACAAATTAGTGTTTTTGTCGTCCAACGCCACCATTAAGTGCAATTTAGACTCACAGTTAATAATCAGGCAGATGAACAGCCGGGTGGGGGACAGAACATCAAAATGTCCTGCCTTCTAGGGACAGTGCGCTGCCGAGGAGACAGCCCCGCTCACCTGCTTCAGCGCGGGGTGTGGGGCGGCGGCCGGCTCAGCCTTGGCCTGCGAGGGGGCCGTGCCCTGCTGCAGGAGCCGCTGCTCAATCTCCTGCTCCTGCTGCAGCGCCTTCACGAAGGCGGCCTTCAGCCGGCTCGTGTGCTCCACCTTGAGCGCCTTCTTCTGGTTGGTCGTCATGCAGTTCTCACACATGATGGCGCCGCCCTTCTCCTCCCGCCAGCGGCACGTGAAGTCTGTCTTGCACTGCGCACACATGTAGGGCTCCCGGGACAGCACAACAGCGGCCGACATCCTGCCTGCTGCAAGGAGACACACAGGCGGCTCATGTCAGAGGGACAGGGCACCATAGTCACGGCCCCCATTCGCCCCTGCCCAGTCCACATGTCAGACACGGAGCAGTGCCCTGGGCCGGACAGGCGCCGGAACCTCCGTCTGCAGTCATGATCCGGCTGTGTGGACACAGTGCCAGCCGAGGCTGAACTGATTTGGAAAACCCCGTGGATTGGGTGTCGTTGCTATCAACCCTTCGGCTCTCAGTGATGTCAGCTCAGCTTCTCTTGCTTTCTGTCCTATACACAATAGGCATCCACCTAGGAGGCTGGGGCCATACCAGGCCCCATCTCATGGGGACGTGTCCCCTAGCTACTGAATGAGTTAACAAGGACAACGATCACCCAGTGAGTGCCTTGTGGGTACTGAGGTACTTGATTCACTCTTCTGAGGGGGCACCCCCACTCCATGTCCTGAGGAGGAAACTGAGGCCGAGAGACAGACTGACCTGTGGACCACATGACCGGGCAGTGGCAGGGCACGACTCACACTTTGGCATAGGCTGCAAGGCCCAGGCTGCACCCATTGCCCCAGGTGAGCAGTAGTGCCTCGGTCCCATCATCTGGGGGACAGAACACGGGGTCTCCCTGGTCGGCCACGAGGGTTTACTGGGGAAGTACATAGGAAGCACCCACCTGAGCAGGGGTCCACATGCCTGTGTGCATTTTGTTCCCACCTATTTTGTGTTCGGCACTCAGGGGCCATAACTGCTCTTGGTCATTACAGACTGTGACACAGGACTGGAGGACAGCAGAAGCAGAGGTCAAGAGACTCTCAGCCTTTCCTCTCCCATCTGGCCTGGCCTCCTGCAGCCTCCTGAGCAATGAAGGGGGCCCCTCATCCCACAGGCCAGATGGGATGTCATTTGTCCAAGCAGCCCATGCCCAGGGCCCACCTCAGGCCCTCAGCTCCAGGCCCCTGCCTGTAGCTCACAGGCTTTGGTGACAACAGCACGTCTCCTTATATATATCCAACCGCAAAGGAGGACGTGGTACCTGCTTCCCAGGCAGCCCTGGCTGGTGTCACCAGCTCCAGAGCCCAAACACGGCACCACTGAGCTGTCCAGCCTGGGGACTCTGGAAGGTGTCAGGAGACACACTCTGGCAGAGCTCAGAGCCTCCTCCCACAGTTCGGTCCTGTTTCTGCCAACAGGAGAGGAACACTGAGCCCTGATGAGAGAATGTCGGAGATGGGCTGGCTGCAGGTGCAGGAAGGTGGTATCGGTCCTGACTTGGGCCTCCCACCCATCCTTCCTACAGTAGCCCTGTGGCAGCTCTTCTACCACCATCACCTTGTCACAAAGGAGACACCAGAGGGATCCAGATACAAGCCAAGTTGTGTCTGAGCTCTCACCTCCCCCACAGCACACCCCGCACTCCCTCCTGCAGACTGAGAGGTGGAGGTCACAGTCACCTGTCTTGCCGAGGATGACGCCAGGCCTCTCAGGGGCTGGTGCAGTCAGTCCTTGCTACGACCCTGTGGTCAGGGAGTGTCACCAGGGTGACTTGGGGGGGGTGTTTGAAGGGTGAGGGGCTACAAGCAAATATGAGGGGGCCACTGGGCACTGGCCACTATGGGGCTGCCACTGGGTCCAGCTGCACCCGTGGGTCTGGGGGGGGCTCGGACTCTTGGAAGCCTTGGGTGCAACCACACAGGAGAGCCCAGATATGCACCACTAAGGCACCCTGAGGGGGTGGGGAGTATCCTCTCCCAACACCAGGGAGACACTGTGGGGCCAGAGCTCTGTCCCAAAGCCCTCCTCTCCCCTCCTCTGCATCCTGTATGGTAGGTGGGCAGAAGCTGCAGCTCCTCAGCACACCCTGCTGCCACCGCTCCCCAGGGCTGTGCCAGGAGGGTCTGAAGCCTGCCAGGCCCCTCCCCTGCCCCAGGCTGGTCCTGGTTCTGCCTCCCACTCTGCTCCGTGTCTGACGCGATCACTGGGGAAATCGTTCAGGCTCACCGCCCACACATTACCAACTCAATCTCAGGGCAGAAGGGTCCTTGGCATCTGCGTCTGGGGAGTAGGGGTTCCCTGGGGGCCGACTCAGATGCTCACCTCCACTTGGCCGTCTCCAGTGCTGTTTTTAATCATTACCCTGCAGACGCCCTTTTATTTCTATCATCTCCTAAGATACAGGTACACTTTTCACACTGTCCCCAAAGAGGGTGATAAAGTGAGCCCAGACCAGGCGGGGGTGTCATGCTCCCTCTTGGGAGGCTTGGAGCATTCGAGGCTCTGTAAAGTTCCGCTTGTGTGTGACTACACTACTACACCCATCCAAGAGCCCTTCCCGGAGACCAAGCCTGTCAGAGCGTCCGCAGATGTCCACCTTCACTGTACAACACCACAGGGCCACTGCTGCCCACCCCCTGGACCACGAACCTCTTGGGGCCCGGCTCTCAGAGGCCCCAGCAGGAGGACAACATCCAAACTTCACAGCAGAACTGATGACCAGATGGTGTCTACAATGCCCACCCAGCAAAGTCCTGGGTACACAGTAGGTACTAGATTGTCTGCTGTATGTTGAAAAGAACCCCTAGGACGGAAGCCACAGTGAGGGGAGAGATGAGAATGGCCCAGCCCAAGCCTCCTCACCTTGTGTCTCAAGTAGGTTCTGCACCACCTCCTCCAGGCCCACCAGGTAGATGAACTCGTTGTTGGCAGCGCTGGGCAGGAAATTCATCTCTGGGGCAGGGGGCTTGGGAGGGGGGATCTCAAGCAGCGTCTTCTCCAGCTGTTTGCGCAGCGCGAGCTTGGCAGCTGCCTGCCGGCTAGCTGGAGACTCAGTGGAGGTGACCGAGGAGGCCACACTGGTGGGGGTGGAGTTAGCCTGAGCGGAGGTGGCTGTTGTCCCCTTCAGCGATGCTGGGGTGGGCTTTAGGAAGACAAGGACAGGGTCAGGGCGCTGGGTGCACCTGCCCTGAGGCAGGCCCCACCAGCGCACCCACACCCCAGGTCCCAGTCAACTCTGTTAACCAATGAGTCCTTATAGGGGTGAATCTGAGTTGTCTGACCTAGAAATCAGGGGCAGCAGGGAAGGCTGTGTGACACGAATCATCCTAGGAGGTGACTGGTCATCTGAACGCTCACTGAGGTTTAGCAGATGTCCAATAAACTGCACACGTTTACAATCTGTAGTTTGCTGTGCTCTGCCACATTAGGAGACCCATGAAGCCATCACCACCCTGCCCAGCAGGGCCCTGTCCTCTCACTGAGACCCACCCTGCCGCCTCCTTGCAGGATGTGGTGGTGGCTTGCTGTGGTGTGGATGCCTGGCCCCCGGGAGCATCTCTGCATTTCCTCGTCTGGACACTAACATTTGAGTCAGTCCTCGGGACCTCATGAGAATTACGGGGCAAGCAGCTCCTAGGCCAACCCCTCACCCAATCCTGGCTGCTCCTTGCACTACTTACTTATCAACCTGTCTGGTTCCCAGTGGCAGACCCTTGATTGTCCCCACCAGCCCCACAACTGACGAGTGTGCTCCCCCAAACCCAGAGCTGACCATGCCAGTACCCCTTAGCTTTTGGGGGTTGAAGACCCTGTGGAAACTGAATAAACCTGTGCATGTCCCCCAAAAAGGACATACCCCAAAACACTTGCAAACACATCTAAAGACATCTGGGATGCCTTCCCAGGACCCCCACCTCCCTCAGCAATGGAGACCTAGCCTGGGCCTTCTTCACGTCTGATTGGCCAGTTCCATCTCCTCCTCCCACTGGCAGCCACCCCCAGCCCTGCCGGCAGCCAATCACCGCAGCTCCACTACTGCTCACTGCCCACTGCATGTCCACCCTCTTCACAGCACACTGAGAGCCACAGGGACTGGGTAAAGTTTCATAGGTGGATGAAACTGCCTGCCTGGGTCAGCCCAGGACACCCCTGCACGGGGGCGGGGCTAGCCACTGTCTCCACACTCAGATCCAACCTTAAAGTGCTGCCGGCCTTGCTCTTTTCTGAGGAGGGCGGGCAAGAACAAACCGAGCCAAAGCAGGAAGAAAGAGTGAACGCATCTGTCAGCAAAAGCCCCTGCAGACCCAGTAATTTTATCTGTCAGCCGAAGCTCCTGCTTCGTTTCCAGCCCTCCCGCCCCTTGGTCCTGTTCTTTCCATCTGCTTCCTGGGGGTGGGAATAGACCCTCCCTGTCTCAGAGGCTCTGTACAGAGGTGAAGGGACGTGTGGCTGAGAATAGATGCGCCTGAGGCCGTGAGGACATTTGCAGACACACCCTCCTCTCTGCCAGTGCTGAGGATGCTGTGGGAAGGATGCTGTGGGAAGTGTGGCTCAGGCTCTGGCGCCCCCTTCTGGACCATCTCCCAGCCCATCACCCGCCTCACCTGAGCCTCATCTGTCCCCACAAACCTGCCATCTCCCAAGTGCCACCTCCTCCAATGTGGAGCCAGTGAGTGGACACCACCCTCAGCTCAGGTCTGCACCCTCGCCTTCTCAGCAGCCACCCCCCTGTGCTAATGTGCCCACCACCACCTTCACACCCCCACTGCCCCAAGGAGCTCCAGTGCAAGCCCAGGGAGCAGACAGGTCATGCACATTGCCCTGAGAGTCACAGCTTGGGCACTCACCCCTCCGAGGCACGGCGCAGCCCCTCACCTGTGGGATGTTGACGAGCAGACTGGTGTTGGGGACATTGGCGACACGGATGAGGCCCTGCTGGATGATTCTCTGTCCCTGAATTTGCACACTGGGCACAGATGCCCGGGGGGCCAGAAGGAGGGGCGGCGGCCCCGTGCTGGAATGTTGTCTGATGTTATGGATTTGCTGCAAGGGCAGGCGGGGGGGACAAGAAATGCCAGTGAGACCAACAATGGAGGGAGACCTCGAGGACCCAGAAGGGTCCTTCTCACAAGGCAGGTGGCTGCTGGGGGCCCCAGTACACAAGGCCCTGCTCACCTGGGCCCCTCTGACAAGCGGGGGCATGACAACCTGCGAGCTCGCCTGCGGCCCCAGCTTCGAGGACGTCTGCTGCCCACCGCGGACCAGGGGTGGGGGGATGACACTCCCAGGTATTCGAGTTGAAGAGGTCTGCCAATGACACCAATGTCCAGATTTATATGGCTTTTTTTTCTTTTTAAAAGCAAATAAATTTCTTGCTTTTGTAAAAGTACATAATAGTTTTTTAAAAAGGTAGCAGATAAATTTTAGAAAGTTAGCTAAGACGCCTACTCATTCTAAACACAGAAAAACAAGGAACAAACTCCAACTAGAGCTATGCAAACCTGGGTTCACTCAGGAGTGAGTCCCACCAACAAGACACCACATTGCCAGGTGACACTGGCCCCGCCCACGGCAGGAGAGCAGCTAGGCCAGGATGGGGTGTCACCTGCTGGGGTGAGTCAGGGGTTGCACTTCCAGATCGTAGCCCTGTGGCTGGGAGCCAGCCTCTGCCCCTCACCTCGAGGGCACCCCATGGGCAGGGGAGGATGTGAGTTGAGCTGGGACAAGGTTCTGGTGGAGCCTGGGCCACCGGACACCCTTGACCACCCACCCTTGGGAAAGTCAGCACGAAGGGAGCCCAGACTTTCCAGTACTCATTCTGATCGTGCTAGGGGCACTTACTAGAGGGGCCCTTCCATTGTCAGCCGAGATTTCTGTTTGTGATGTCAACAGTGGCCTAGTTTGGGCACTGCAGTTCAAGAAATGCATGTATGCTGCTTCAACTCTGGGCTGTGGGCAGGAAGGCCTCACTCCAGCCCACTCAGAAGGAACCGGCAGCCTTTTGCTAAACCTGAACCAGGGCTGCTCGGGAGTCCGATGGGCCCATTCCTAACTGCAAACAGCAGCAGTGCCAGCCAGACACCGGCCGAGGGGCAGAGGGGACACTGACCTGAAGCGATGGCTTGCCAGCAGGAATGCTTTGTGTACCCCGCACGAGCGGGGGAGGGGTGGTCACGGTGCTCCCTGTGGAGCCTGCGGGCTGTAAGAGAGCAGGACACATGGGAGGTGAGAGGGCTGCTGGCCGCTCCCCCACATGGAGGCACCAATAAGCTTCCAGGCTGAAAGTGACCTCATCCGTAGCATGAGTTGGTATGTTCTACACGGACAGAGGAGGGACTTCCCAGCAGCCCCCTCCCACCCCGAATCTTGGCATCACTTCCAGGTTGCTTCTTGACACCCACATGGAACCCAGGCACCCACTCTGCCCTCCAGGGGACAGAACTGCTGCTGGTGGCGGTGGTGGTGGTGGTGGTGGCAGCGGCAGCTGAGGCAAAGGACCCAGGGCCTGGATAGGTAGGTCTCTAAACCTTAGTGAGAAAACGCTGTGTCTGGGCACTTTTTAAAGCCACAAGTTCCACTAGAGAAGGCACAATGATAAACTTATTGCACTTCAACAAGTCAAGGAAGCAGAAGAAATTAATAGCCAGCCTCTGCCCAACCCACTTGCTAACCACGTGTGGGTGCAGGTTCAAAAGCAAACCCCTGAGCCAGAGCAGGGAGTGTCTCCTCTTGTCTTTCCTCGAGCAGCTGTCAGCTCCTGCTGCCCAGGACATACTAACTTTCTGGTTCGCTGAGGTAGTGACAAAAGTACTCTGAAGGTCAGTCATCTCCCACCAGGCATCTTCCCAGAATGGGGAACTAGAAAAGCCCCCCAAAATAAGCTGAGCATGCAGGCGCTCCTTGGCACACCTGGTAGAGTCGAGGCCCAGAAAATAAAGGTAGCTAATGAACTTGTCTTACACATCAAACCCCGTCTAGAAGCAGCAGAACAAAGAGCCTTGGCCCCAGGGAAGAAAGAACTGGAGCAGGACCCTCTCGAGGGTCAAGAGCGAGGGCTGTGGGGAGCTCAGCGCACACCCAGCTGGGCGGGGACTGAGAGGTGCAGACACATGTGGCAGGAGGAGGAGGGGATGGGAGATGACAGGGCAGTCTGCACCCACGGGACAGGAGGCCTTTCTGCAAACAGGCTCAGGACAGAGCTATTAACCCAGAAACATGCTTCTAACAGCACCAAATACATCTGAGCTCTACGTCCTTGACATCTGCAGTCTGACAGAAGTGAGCTTTACAGACTCAGATCCACGGTGCTCTAGACTGAAACACATTCTGACTCCCTTTTAGCTGAATCCAAAATGTGTACATGAGCCCACAAACATCCACTCAGATCCTGCCCCATGCATCCCAGAGCAAAGCCTTTCCCCTCTTGCCTTTCCAGCCCCTGGCAGAGGACAGTGGTCAAGGTAAGGGCAGTGGCTGGTTACCCCCGGTTCCCAATGGCTCCCGTGAACCCTTGAGGGGAGCAGGGGACACAAGCACGCACCTTCTGGGTGGTGGCTTCCTTTTGTATTTGACTCTGCCGTAACTTTTTCAACAAAACGAGTTTTGCTTCTTCTAATCTTAACTCTTCTTTCAGTTGCTTGATCATCCTCTCTCGTTCTTCAGGACTACTCTTCTGCAAGGGTGAGGGAAGCAGGATTGAGGGGAGGGTCCTCTGCAGGGAGCAGAGCGTGCCCCCCCCCCCACCAGCTCCACTTGAGGGTGCCACAGCTGGGCTCACCATGAGGGCCTCAGTGCTGGTCTCCTTCAAGGCCACCGTGCTCAGGCCATTCACCCTAGGGCTCGAGGGCTGCTCGTTGTCAGACAGCACGATCACATCAGGTGAGGGAGGTCTCCTCTCAGACTTCATGTCACTGTGGGGTGGAGATAGCAGTCATTACCAGAGTACCCTGACTGCTGGACAGACAAACAGCAGGATGGGAATGGAGGGGGGGGGGCGGTGCTCCTGCCCAGGCTCCCCAGCTGGCTCTCCCTGGGTGTCCTTCCTGCCCTACCTGCAGGCCCCAGACTGCCTCTTCTCACTGCACCCATCACAGGGCACCCAAACCCACCAACTGATGGCTGGGCCTTGCAACAGCTGGGACTTAGTGTTTGCCTCTGTGTCCCCAGGGCTGAGGGTACGTGTGCTCCTGAGCATGATGTGGTCATTTTGAAAAACACGGCAGCTCCTTCCTCTACCACGTGGCTTGGTACTGGGTAAAAATACTTGGCTCTGATCCCAGGGCCTGGCTCACTCAGGGCTCCTGTGTGCTGAGTGTGATGGGATGTGTATGCCTCGCAAACCAGGGGCTGCCACCTGTCCATGCTGGAAACCACATGATGGAGAGCCCAGCCCCTACACAAACCAACTTTTCCTTTCTGCTGAACCCCAGCACACTGACAGCCCTCACACCTGGCAGCACACCTGCCTCCAGAAGACTGAGGGGCATGTCCATGGGCTGTCAGCCTGCTCAGGGGGCAGCCCCAGGCTGCTGCTGGATTGTCCTTCCTAGGCCGCATGTGGCCACAGCCACTACATGTTTTGAAACCAACTAGGACACATTTTCTCTCAAAGACCTGGGACTCTTTACCCACCTGATCTACTCAGAAACTGGTTTCTGGCTGGCTGCCCCACCCCCATGCTCTAATGATGCGTGGACTGCTCTGGTCACAGATGCCAAGGTCACTCTGCCTGTTACCCTCCCGCATACCCCAGAAGTCCCAGCTCAAACTGCATCATGAAACACTCTCATCGTTCTAGCCCACATCCCCCTTTCTTTCCTAATGAATTTGGCTCTCTGCTCATTGCCACGGTGTGTCTGGGGAGTTTACTTCTGCTGGTGAACTTGACCTTAGGCTGTTCTTCCTCTACTCACTGCCAGCCCACAGCATCTCACTACAACCCAGGCAGAATCAAGGGACAATGGGGGAAGCACCTGTGGGTCTTCCTTTTTTGTTATTTTGTCAAAACATGGTCACAAATGTCTAAGTGTGTGGCTCTGTCATTTATCAGAACCTGGTAACACTGAATATCCATTCTGTGCTAACTTTTCGCTAGGCTCTGAGCTAAGAGCCCACTGCACATTATGCTATTTAACTCAAGTAGGAACACACCAACTTTTTTTTTTTTTTGAGACAGTCTCGCTCTGTTGCCCTGGTGAGTGCTGTGGCATCAGCCTAGCTCACAGCAACCTCAAACTCCTGAGCTCAAGCAATCCTTCTGCCTCAGCCTCCCGAGTAGCTGAGACTACAGGCACATGCCACCGTGTCTGGCTAATTTTTTCTATATATTTTTAGTTGTCCAGCTAATTTCTTTCTATTTTTAGTAGAGACGGGGTCTTGCTCTTGCTCAGGCTGGTCTCGAACTCCTGAGCTCAAACGATCCACCACAGCCTTGGCCTCCCAGAGTGCTAGGATTACAGGCGTGAGCCACCGTGCCCCACCTACACCAACATTTGATTTTCTCCTTCTTGCGAATGATCCTCTAGGATGGATACACACATCTAATGCCACTGAAGCCACAGGGCTGGACACCTGCTGTGGTGTCGCTGACCCAACATGAGTCCCAGAGACACACTTTGCTCCAAACCAAGCAGCTCCTTTTGCTGATGGCGTAACTCGAACTTCTCCTGAAGATCTGGACTCAGTACTTGTATTGAAGGAATCAGATCCTTTTTTGTTAGCAAGAAAAGCAGCCGAGGACAGAACACGTCCGGTAGGTGGCACTGTGACCCAGAGGACAAACTCAGACGAAGTTAACTGGGAGTTACAACTCAAAAGTTGTCCCCACTCTTTTCACTAGACCCCAGCCAAGCTGAGGACACAGAGTTACTAGGATGAAGAACCTGACTATGCTCTGGCGGCCCATAGGACCTCCATCTCCGTGCCCAAGTATGTGGCATCTTCAGGGAAGGACAGACGCAGAGGACCAAAGGCTGAGGCTTCACCAACTCTCCCCCGGACTCGCAGATGCAGAATGGAGCTGCTTCTCCTGACTCTCCCCAGTCAGTCCTGACTCTCCCCAGTCAGTCCTGACTGCACCCACCAGAGCCGCACGGAAGCTGCAGCTGAACACTGGTCCTAGCCCTGATCTGACTTAACTAGAGCAGCTGCCGGCCAGCCTCTCACCGGAAACCTGGGGAGTGGAGAGAAAGTTGCCTGTTTCACATGGGGTTATCATTCTGCATTCTGAAGTCCAGAAACAGGTTGTTTATAAAGTGACCTAGGACACTTTACTCGGGTCGCACCAAACCACCTGTGTCTCTCCTTGCCGCCAGCCCCACTCCACCTAAGATCGACTTTCAAGGTGACCTCAGGGCTCTAATTCCAGGCTCTCTGGATGTGCATACAGACACGGGGCACCTCATAGGCAGGAGGACCCAAAGCCCAGCACAGAGCTGCAGCCACTGGTCGCCACCCAGGTGGGGTCCTAGGTGAACTGAGGAGTGGCGGCCCAGGCAGCACCTTGTATAGAGTTACGGTCAACAGACACACTTCCTGGGCGAGCACAGGCTGAAACAATGGCCAATCTACAGAGACTTGTCACTTCTTAACAACTTATCGAGAGTGTGCGCTTCTTCCAGAGTTGAGATGTCTAATGAAACTCAAATTTGCCTGAGGGAAGACGACAGGGCTATGGACCTGAGCCACCCAGCGGCTGAAGCTTCCCAAGAGGGCTGCTCCCACCACAGCGCTTCCTGGCCCCATCTTGGCCTGAGACTAATCAATAACTCATCCAAGAGATGATGTCACCACCCATCAATGATCACTCAGCATCCCAGCAGCCAGCAGGGAGTGAACTTCCTGTATGCTAATCAGGCCACCAAAAAGTCATGTGACAAAGGCATTTCCCTCCTTGGTCATGTGACCCTTTAACTGTGCCTTACAACGTGAAAACCATGGCAACGGCCAGTTCTAACCGGTTTGTGACACGCAGCCTTCATTTTGAGAAGGGAGGTAAGGGTTCAGGTGCTGTCAGAAAATGGAGGCGCCAGGCTCACCCTGGGGCCGCAGAGCTGCGGGCACTTCCTGTGTGGTGCCAGCTCACAGGGGACTGTGTCACAGGCACCAGAGTCACCTCTTACAAACACAGAGGGGGCCACTAGCCCCTTTAAGTCACCAAAATGAAAAACTTTCTTAAAGGAGAGGGGGCCTCAAGACTCACTATTTTTCTGGAGAGTTCTTTCAACTCAGGATAAAAGAACATATGGCTCAAAATAATCATAGGCATGATTCTATAACAAAAAGTTTTAATTATAAAAGCCATCTAAAGTGAAGAGAATGAAAGCAGAGGAAATCTAGTCCAATGTGCCGGGGGGTGGGTGGCGTCATGACCAAGGGACTGTGTCTGCCTTGCCCAGGTGCACTGAGCTGGCCACTCCACGGTGGCCACCCTGGGCGCTGAGTTTATTTGGAAATTACACGGTATTTCAGGGCAAAGCCCATAAGCCTGTTCTGCCATACTGAGAACCCTTAATGTGAAATATAGTGATCAAAAAAGATTTTATGTGACCTACAAAAATCCCTGGAAGGAGGCCAGGCTGTTATCGGCGTAAATGGTCTGACCACCTCTTCCCCGGGCTGGCCCTGACTTCATGAGCACAGAAGTTCTGTTACCTGCCAGGAACTTCCGTGGAGTTTCCTGGAGAGGAGGCCAGGATTATAAATTTACATCATGACACAATCCCACCTCCACCGCACAGGGCTATTGCTCTCAGCTGCTCCCAACCAGCAAGCAGTACATGGTTAATATTTAGTGTCCCCTCAGCCTGTGCGGGGAAGGAATCTCACTGAAGGAACAGAGCCGTCCTTGGCAGCTCTGACCTTTGCGATTCTCTGAACGGGCCTGCCTTATGGCCAGAGAAGGCATACTTCATCCTTCCCTCATTCATTCATTCATCCATTCGTCACACACATTTGCTGAAAGCCCATCTAAGAAGCAGGTGCTGCACCAGGCAATGGGGAGAAGCACCTGGATAAAAGGTAGTTCTGTCCTTAGGGTTCACAGTCCACCAGGATGGACAGACACAAAAACAAGTGGGGAAGGGCAGGTTGGGGTGAGGCCCAGGCAGAGAGTCCACAGGTGGGAGGAGGGGGGAGGAACCCCTCAAACATCTGCCCAGCAGCCGCGTCGACCCACAGAAGAGCGCAGGCAGCTTCTCTAGAGCTCCTATAAATGCAGGGTGTCCCTGCCCCAGGCCTGCTTGATCAATGTTTGCATTTTAACAAGATCCCCTGAGATTCCTGCACATACTAGGCAAGTTGGGGATGATCATGAACTGTGACCCAATGAGGCCTTGGGACAAGAAATCCTCCTAGGCCAGCTCAGACAAAGAGGCAGGGCCCATCAATGCCTTCTCCAGCCACAACCACTCCCTGCTAGAATCCTTCCTCCTTGTACCTTTCAGGCCCGGCAGAGTTGGAGGAGGCAGGCACTGCTGGTTGTGTTTAAAGGTGGGATGGGGGCTGGGGGATTTGCTAGATCCCATACGATGTTCCCCAACATGAACCAAGCTATTCACACCCCTAGACCAACCCAACGAACCCTCACCTGGCCCTATCAGCCCATCACCCTAGGTTCCTGCCCACTAAGCCCCAGGCTTGGCCCACAGCCACCACCTGCCGTAACCCTTGCATGCTATCCCCCTTGTGAACAACCCCATCTCCATCCTCCCCAGGCCTCCTTGTGAGCCCCAACGTACCATTCAAGATGCACCTCAAACCATCTCTGCCCTCGGAAAGGTTCCTGGCTGGCCCTGCGCCGTACACCCTTGCCCTGGGAATGTAGTCAATGCTCCCCCTGCGTGCTTGTGGGGAGCCCCCAGCAGTGCACAGCCCAGGAAACCACCATAGCTCACCTGCCTCGGAAGGCCCT